AAAATTTAAAATTTTCCGATTGTTCTTCCCTAAATGCAATTCAATTTCCCTCTCCTGAAAATTCCCGCTCAACTTTCCACGAAATTTTAATTATTTTCAAACGCTGCACCAAGCATTGACGAATTCAGTAGAAAATGCAAAAATAAATCAGACCAACGTACCGAATGTTCGTCTGATATTCTGCCACATTTTCATTTTATTCAGACGTTTTTTAGTGTCTGAAAAAATCTACAAAAGGTCTATGAAATTCAGGCAATCGTTTTTGCGGTGGTCCTACTGATAAACAATTTCAAATTTTCCAATTGTTCTTCCCTAAATGCAATTTAATTTCCCTCTCCCGAAAACCCCCGGTCAGCTCTCCACAAAATTTTAATTATTTTCAAACGCTGCCCCAGAACATTGACGAATTCAGTAGAAAATGCAAGAATAAACCAGACCAACGTACCGAACGTTCGTCTGAAATTTACCCACATTTTCATTTTATTCAGACGTTTTTTAGTGTCTGAAAAAATCTACAAAAGGTCTATGAAATTCAGGCAATCGTTTTTGCGGTGGTCCTACTGATAAACAATTTCAAATTTTCCAATTGTTCTTCCCTAAATGCAATTTAATTTCCGTCTCCCGAAAACGCCCGGTCAGCTCTCCACAAAATTTTAATTATTTTCGCACGCTGCCCCAGAACATTGACGAATTCAGTAGAAAATGCAAGAATAAACCAGACCAACGTACCGAATGTTCGTCTTAAATTCATTCACATTTTCATTTTATTCAGACGTTTTTTAGTGTCTGAAAAATGTCTACAAAAGGTCTGTGAAATTCAGGCATTCGTTTTTGCGGTCGCCCTACTAATAAACAATTTCAAATTTTGCAATTGTTCTTCCCTAAATGCAATTTAATTTCCGTCTCCCGAAAACCCCCGGTCAGCTCTCCACAAAATTTTAATTATTTTCAAACGCTGCAGCAAGCATTGACGAATTCAGTAGAAAATGCAAGAATAAACCAGACCAACGTACCTCCGTCCTCTATTCCACAGTTAATCTCGATATGGAAACGTGAATGAAGCCAATTATTCCCTGAGTTAAAATAATCCGAGCACTGGACTCTAAACACTTAATGACAGTATTACGAAGCTTTCACACGTTCCTTGACCTCCATAATCCAGCCCAACAAAACAACGGGATGACTAACACGAAAATGTGGAGCTTACGGGCGCCGGCCGGCCGCCATAACTGAAATCAATATCTCCCCAGCAAGGAGCGTCCACAAGAGCAATTTCTCCCGTGTCCTCCACCCCTCATTCCTCCAGCATTTATAGCTTCTTTTCCCCGATTAAATCTCGCCTAGAACCTACTAATCGCGAAGTGAATGACGACCATAAAGTGTTGAGATGACTTCTCGCTCCTGAAGACGTCCTACATTCATTTACGACGTATTACACCAAAACTCACCTGGTCAGGGCATTATTACCGACATTTTCATGGGCAACAAGAGCAACTGGTCGACATAAACGAGAAAGCGCATGTACTTTCCAATTAGCATTCCGCAAATCCATTCTTCTCGATCCGATGATTTATTTCTTTCGAAATTATCAGGCGACTGCATTGTTAGAAAATTACTCCTCAAGTTTCAAGTAAAGAAGTGGGAAATCACGAGTGAAAAAATCGTATGGAAATTTTCTATACGGATTGCGGGTAGAATTTCTATAGGACTAGGGAAATGGCGCGCGCGTATGAAACATCATCGATGGCTAATATTCATTCATTATTCAGATTGTTTTTGAGTGATTAATTTTTGCAAATAACTAAAGTTCTAATGGGATGTGGAGAAGGAATCGGAAGGTTATATGATATTATTTCAACATTTTAACATTGAACTCCACTTTATTCGATTCGTTTGAGTTTCTTTATTATTATTTTTATTGTTTAGGTCATTGGAGTTGTCATTTAACAGTAAAATTTAGTTTCAGAAAAAATAATAGGATTAGATATCTCATGACTTGTTAAAAAACAAAATGTAAGATGAAAAGAACAAATAATAATTTGTTTTATACTATAATATTTTTTTTCTATTTTATTAAAAAAATTAAATAATTAATTTAATTCAGTAGCGAAGTGGTCAAACGGTTTAAGTCGGTTTTGACTATTGGCCAGTTTTCAATGAATATCTCGAAATCTGAGAGGGATAGCAAAATTTTGCTCATAACCTTTTTAGTAGCACTCAATTCGCTCTACAAAAAAGGTTATTATGAAAATTTTGCTATCTCTCTTAGATTTCGAGATATTCATTGAAAACTGAACCGTTTGACCACTTCGCTACTGAATTAAATTAATTATTTAATTAAAATTAATTATTTTTTTCATATTCAATTTATTTCTAATAAAATAATATATATAAATGGGTCTGAATTTCCGACAAACGGGTGCCCAAACATCTCAATTCCCTTTTGAAATTCAGACAAATGTTCATTTTATTCTGACGTTTTTTAGTGTCTGGAAAATGTCTACAAAAGGTGCGTGAAATTCAGACATTCGTTTCTGCTGTGCCCGAACCACCAACGGGAAACATGAAAACTGATCAAAACACAACTCCTTTTTCGTCATTAACGAGTAGGCGCCCAGTCATTGGTACAGTTACTCGTGTTTTACATCTCCTTTGTATCCCCCTATTCTCAGGCCGTCTGTCAGACTGTGTCAAAGACCTTTGCCCCATACTCTTTCACCCCCCAACAGTTCAGAGTGAAAGGAGCACTCCGGACTTTTCCACTCGAGCTTTTTTTATTCCCATGCACATGCGCCCCGCTCAAGTTCAGAGACTCTGCGACGATCATGTGACCATGAACTCAGAAATTTTTTAAAAATCAACCAATACTGACCCTTGAATTCTCAATGTTGTGAATTTGAATTCAATTTAAGATCAAATCGTTCATGAAATCTCTCATTCAGGTCGGAAATTCAGGATAATTGGGTAATTCATGTTAAATTTATCACTGATATTTCAATGACATCTAGAATTTTCAAATTCATTGCTGAAATTAATAATAATAATAATAATAATAATAATAATAATAATAATAATAATGTTAATAGTTGTAAAAACTGAAAAATCTATTATTTGGAATAATAATAATTTTTTTCAGTAAAATATAATGATAGTCGCGTTCGATTCCCGTCTGAGTGCTGGGGGAATTTTTTATCTCTAAATTCGAATTCTATTTGAATTTTTTTTTCAAATAGAATGTTATCTTTAGCTTTCAAGGAAATTGTTGCTTGAATTGTCAAATTGTTTAATAATTTTCATTATCATGTGGACCTGAAAATGACAATTCCATTGAATACACCAGAATTGAACTGATTTTTCAATAATAAAATACATGAAAATGTCGTGTGAATGAGTGATTGTTTAAAATTCAAAGATTTTTGCTTCCGAACGGAAGCATTGTAATCGTTCAAAATTAAGTTTTGGATTTTTTTGTGTTATATCAACCCATTATGATCGAAAAAGTCCGAAAATGCAATTTTTAAACTGCGTGATGCATGCCAATATATTGAGAGCGAAAAAAAATGAAACATCACTCAGTGACATGCTCACTGTCATATGGCGCGCTGTCATGCGCTCGCTGTCCCCTGCTTGTTTCAATTTATTTGCCATAAAATAAGAAAATATTCACCTGAATTTTCCTCGTTTAAATTAATTTATAATTGAACTGAAATTTAATTTCCATCGATTCTTTCGTAGAATTTTCAATTCTCAATGACGAAATTCCTTAAAATTTTAGTTAAACTGCGATGTGATAACAATTTTTGTTAATTTCCCATTCATTGTTTATTCACCATCCTATTCTCCTGAAGATAATCGAAAAAAATTATTCTCCAGAAAATTCTGATGAATTCCCTCATATTCCCACAGAACCGGTCGAATTCGTTAGAAAATTCTATTGATTTTCTATTGAACTGTTCTATTGAATGTTTTCTATTGAACACGTCAATAGAATCAGCCAAAAACTAATAGAAATTTTAAGAGAAATTCAATAGAATTTGATACGATAGAATTGGATAGAATTTGATTAAAACCTATCAAATTCTAACGAATTTGATAGGTTTTTCTATTAAATGTTTCGTCCGTGACACTTTACCATTAAAGTTTTGCCACACTTCCCCTAAATTCACGGAGAGAAATGTTCAGTAAAAATTACGGAACTCACAGTTTGCTCACCGATTACGGAATCGTCTCAGAAAATTTAAGTGACGGTATCGTAATTTTTAACAGAAGATTCAGGTAAAAATTACGGAACGCTCTGGAAAAATTGCGTTACAGTTCCGCAAAATGTCCTACAACCCCACTTCGCTCCGGAATTACGGAAAAGATGCGTAATTTTTGTTGAATATTTCTCTCCGTGAACAGAAAACCCCTCGAACATAATAACACGTGTCCCCATCATTTATTCATAAGCCGCTTTGTAGGATCCTCTTCTGACATCACAGTTGACTTTTCACGTCGAAGAATTAACGACGAGATATTGGGAAAGACGTATGGGAGATGCCAAAGGGTATCCGGTGGTCCCCTGGAATCTCTTTTGAATGACTCGGAGAAGAAACACAAGGAGGTCGCAGGATTGAGGTCGTTGGATGTAGCGCAGGTACCGTTCGAAGAGTAACAACATAAAAAGAGAAAGAAAAAGTCCTTCATTCCCCCCGATTTACTCTTCCTTTTATTTTTTTTTATTGATCAAGGCCACTTGTCCCGGAATTCCCGTTAAACCACGGGGATTTGGGTAAATAATATATCACTCATTATTTTATCGGCGTCATTTTGCATTGATGGGCGAACATTTCGCAAGTCGTAGGAAGTACTGCGTATCTTGTATTTTAATTGATACCTGGATCAAATTGTAGCAATTGAGTGTGATTGTCTTCAATTTGGCTGATTAATTGATTGGCGGTAGCATCATCTTACCTGATAGCTTTACTCCGACATTTTCCGCACTCGATCATTGTCGAACAGTGGGATGAGTTGGTACGTAGTGTCCTTATTCCTTGTGTATTCATTCTGTGGAGTCGAATCCGCCAGGTAATTCTCATTCATTTTTATTTCCAGTTTCAGTTGATTATTTTTTTTATTCTGTGTGGTAGATTCTACAATGCGAGCAACAAGAAAAATTCTACTGTCAGGCCGGAAGTTGTACTCCCTCAAGATTATATCAAAGGTTTGTGGGGGGAACCCATGGGTTTTTGATTTTTTTTCGGAAATGAAACAGAAAATATGAGAAACAGAAACAGAAAATATGAGAAAATTTGATAGAAAATATTAGATGCGTATTTTTTCATTTTGGGAAATCACAAACACAAAATTACAACCAATTGCAAGAAAAAGTGGAATATAAGAATTTAAGGGGAGATCGATAAAAATGAATAATTAGTGAAAAAATTAATTGTTTATTGTTTGTCTGCCCCGCAGACGCTTAAAATGTTAGAAATAGTCCGGGCCCTCCAATTTTTGAACTACAGAGGTTTTTTTTTCGTAATTTTTGAAAAAATGTGTATAAGACGGAGAGAAATATTCATTAAAAATTTCGTATCTTTTCCGTAATTCCGGAACGCAATGTGGTTGTAGGAAATTTTATGGAACTGTCACGTAATTGTTACCTAAAATCACGGAATTTTTCCAGAGCGTTTTGTAATTTTTACCTGAATCTCCTGTGAAAAATTACAATACCGTCCCTTAAATTTTCTGCGCCGATTTCGTAATCGGTGAGCGAACTATGAGTTCCGTAATTTTTACTGAACATTTCTCTCCGTGGATAACAATCATGAGTTAGTTTTTTGAAATTCGACTCCTACACAGCTAATTTCGTTTTTTTTTAAATAAAAAATTGCACCATTCATGTAAAATAGGCCAAAACTATTTCTGAAACAATCGAGAATATATTTTAAATTCTTTTCAGGATGATTTTTTGCCTATTTTACCTGAATGACGCAAATTTTTATATTAAACAAAACGAAATTAGCTGTCTAGGAGTCGAATTCCAAAAAACTAATTTGTAATTGTTATTGTACACATTTTTCAAAAATTTTGGAGGCCCTGGACTATTTTTAACACTTCAAGCGTCTGCGGGGCAAATGAACAATAAATGATTAATCTTTCGCCCTAATTATTGGTTTTTAGACTTATATAATCGATTTTCATTGCATGAGAAATGTCACTCCAAACGCTCGCGGCTTTCAAAACTTATAGAAGTCTCTTAATGGGAAACTTTAGTTGCATATTTTTCGTTTTAAAAAATTATGAAAAATATAAAAATTAAAGACATTTACAATAAAAAAATATGTGTCTGATATTTCTCGTTTAATTTCCACATTGAGAAATCCAAATTTTTAATGCAAAATCCCAATCGCAACTAGACTGACCGCGAATCCCTGTTTTTTGCCGCTTCATTGTAGAAATTCGACCGTCTGTGGCGAAAGGTGGTCCAGTGGTTGTCGACTTCAATCTCTTCATCGTAGACATTAATTCCATAAACGTTGAGGATATGGATTTTCGGTGAGTATGAATAAAAAATTGACCGTCACATGCTTCGAAAATCAAGGAAAAAGAGCCTTGACCCCCTGATTCATTCACCAGCTTCACATTTAATGAGATTCTATGTAATAGAGTGGACATGTTTATTCGGCAAAGTTGGATGGAATCCCGTCTCAATATACCGGAGGATATTTTCGAGGAAGGCGATGATTACGTCACCCTTCCACCGGAATTTTTCGACAACCTTTGGCAGCCGGATCCCTATTTTCTAAATTCCAAAATTGCTGGTATATTTTTTTTCAATTCGTAGAGAGTTTCTCCAGGGGGTTGAACCCATCATATTTACATACGTACGAAAAAGTTTCATAGAAAAACCTAGTGAATTCCGTGGAAAATTTTATTAATTGGAGCGAGTGAAAAATTCCGCAGTTTATCTGCGCATTTTTTTTATTAACATGTTCAATAGACAATATTTTGTGGAAAAATCAAGAAAATTTTATTCTTCTGCACAACTTAGTCTGTTGAGGTATTTTCCAAGTATTTTTGTCTGAGTTTTTTAATGAATAGAAGAAAAAAATGGAGTAGAAAAAACTTGGAAAATCGTGTCGAGCAATTTTTTATTAAGGATTACCCAATTAATTTCCCATTGTAAAAATCATTTGCTCGATTTTGGTCTTTAGTAATTCAAATACAATGTATGCACAAAATGGAAATGTAAAACATGTAACAAATCGAAATGTAACAAATTTATTCATATACAAAATTTTACCAGACTTGATTTCACGCCGAAAATAAAATTGCCCAAAGTTTAAACAATTTCAACTATTTATTTATAAACAACAAATTTTTAAAAGAATAATAATTCTGTGCAAAATGTAATTTGAATGACGTTGAATATTCATAATTTGTTTCCAAATTTTATCACGTAATTTAATTAATTAAATTTAATGGCAAATTTGATGATTGAAAATTATTTGAATCTACATTCCGGTCTGTACCAAACCGTGAGATATTTGGATATTCTTAAAAAAATGTGAAGTATTAGAGGTGCGAAAATCTTCAACCCCCCAAAAATTAATAGAATTTTCAATAGAAATCCAAAAGAATTTTCCGCCGAGTTGGCTATGTTCTCCTATGAACCTCTTGCGTGCGTTTATAAAAAGTCGAATGGCTCTTTTCTTCCAGAAATCGCCACCCTGACCCACAAATTCTCATCGGTAACCCTGTTCAGAAACAAAACAGTGAGATACGCAGCTCGGATGCATGCAATTGTTGCCTGTCAAATGGAATTTCAACTGTACCCCATGGACATACAAGTGTGTCCCATATACATCGAGAGCTGTGAGTGGTTGACGATGACATCATAAATCTGAGTGGATTCGAATAGACTTAACGGCACATGCTACTTCGAAAAAAGGAACATAAATTATAAACCGAATAAATTAGGGTGTCGTTGGCTTTATAGTCAATAAAATGACGAAGGAGAGGAACGATCTTCCTCGATCAACTGTCAATGTCCCAGTTATGCCACTAGAAGCTTTCCGTGTCTTCACTGACGATCAAATAATGATATTTTTCTTCATAATTCGTCAATTCAACAAATGCATTCTTTTCCAATTAATATTCTCTTTCATCATTTGGGATTTACATTTCCCCAAGCGAATGATTAAGTAAATTAATCCTTTCAAGTCAAATCATTGAAAAATCGCGTACACCGAGAGAAAAGCAAACACGTTGTCAAACAAGTCTTGTTTGCGCCAACAAAATAGCCAGTTGAAAATTGCCAAAAAAGAATTTGTTTGGTTCGAATTTGAAAGTCTCAAACATGAATAATTGTTCTGCTTTCGACAGCAACGAAATATTTGGCTCAAGAGGCGGATAATTCAAGCCAGACGGCGCCTTTTCAGGATGAAAATATCTCATATAGAGAAAAATTTATCAACAAATATTTTATCCCCAAGTTACAAGATTGCTATCATATCATTATTATTGTTTCATTTAAGGGTTCATTTGTTGTCTGTGATTATTAGACAGCCGAAACGAAAAACTACTATCCCTTGTTTCGCATAAAACAAAGATTTTTCGGGAGCAAAATACGTATGGGAGTATCGAATAACGAAGGAGTAGTGCTAGAATAGTATATTTCGTAACGAGTGCAAAAAAGTGTTTTTTGGCGAGTGGGAGGTTTATATCACGAGCCGAAGGCGAGTGATATAATCCCACGAGCTGAAAAACATTTTTTCACGAGTTACGAACAATATTTTTCATCACAATGTGGCGGAAATTGGACTTTTAGGCACGCGGAGCGTGCCGAAAAGTTCACTTTTCGACACAGCGTGATGAAAATGACATTTCGTGCGTGTACAGAGAATGCAATTTTTTTTGAACAGCTAAATCTATTTTTGCGACAAAAATTTTTCATTCCGGCGCACTCTCTGCATGTTTGGCACAAAAAAATCCTTTTTTGATAATTTTCAAAAAACTATTTTCTTGGCACAAGTAAGACTTGTTTGAGAACTTTGTCGTTTTTCCCTGTGTAGGGTGACGTAGGGTGGCGTATTGACGTTGTTATATTTGATTCATGAATTTTTCGATCGATTTCCCCCTGAATTTTAGTAATCGCGCGGTTTCTTAGCCTTTCGGGATGTTTTAGGATAATTTAACTAAAAAAATGCAGTAAACTTAATGGAAATTCCACACTTTTTATTAGAAATTTCACAAAAATAGTTGAATGCTCCCGAGAGCTACTGGATTTTCTAATGAAAGTTCAGATAAAAATGTTTGAAACGAAAATTCCAGGGGAATTATCAACAGATTTTTCTCTCCGCGTAGAATTTTGAAAGTTTTTTTATCGTGATTAATTTCCCTAAATTCTCCACATTCTCGCCCGAGAGTTTTTCGAAAACTGTTTCCACATCGAAAATAAAGCGACAAATTTTTAAATGGAGAAAGGAAAATTTCTCGTTTAAAAAGTTCCCACAGATATTCACCCGAGTCGAAATTCTCAAAGTACCCATTATCTTCAATTAATCTCGATTTTAAGGAGTTTTCAAAGTCACGGACGATTGGAGTGAGATTCCTCATGCATTTAAGATCGATTATATATATCTAAAAACGAATAATTATTGCAAAAACAAATTGTTTATTGGTCGTTTGCCCCGCACACGCTTAAAATGTTAAAAATAGTCCAGGGCCTCCAATTTTTGAGCTACAGAAAATTTGTTTCTCAAAATTTTTGAAAAAAAGTGTACAGTAACAATTACGAATTAGTTTTTTGAAATTCCACTCCTACACAACTAATTTCTTATCCTTAAAATATTTAAAATATATTTTCGAATCTTTGAGGAACATTTTTTGAGCTACTTTACATGAATCGTGCAATTTTTTCTAAAAAAAACAAAATTAACTATGTAGGCGTCGAATTAAAAAAACAATTCGTAGTTGTTATTGCACAAGAATTTTAAAAAAATTGGAGGCCCTCGACTATTTCAACATTTTAAGCCCCCGCGGGGCAAACGAACAATAAACTGTTATTTTCTTCCACTAATTATTAATTTTTAGAAATACACAATCACTCTTCAATCAGTGAGAAATCTCATTTCACTGGCCCGCGAATTGAAAACTCGTGGTAGTCTCCCCTTAAAAAATATCGCATGATGTTTGGCGAGTCCCGTTAGTTGCCCAGATGAAGCCCCAAAAATTTCCCGCGACATCGTGATAGACAGATTGAAAACCGTATAATTTCCCCAAAGTCTCCTACAACAGTCAGAAGTTACGACTCCGTTGGGACGACGCAGGTGTCACGGTGAACCCGGAGCTGAAGCTCCTCCAGTATGACTTTGGTAAACCGCGACTGTCGGAGGAGACGAACCACGTGCCGGAGAAGAATGGGAAGTTCTCGAGACTCATCGTCTTCTTCAAATTCGAGAGACAAATAGGGCACCACTTGATTCAGACGTTTGCCCCGTCCACCCTGGTGGTGATGCTGTCGTGGTTCAGCTTCTGGCTGGGGCTGGATGCCATACCAGGTCGGGTGACACTTCTCGTTACGAGTATGCTGACCTTGGTTACGATGTTCACTGGGTTAAAGACTGATATCCCACCGGTTGCTTACGTGAAAGTAAGTACCATCTCAATGCCTCCAGGAGAAATTTCATGCCTACGGTCTTGATCCCGGTGGCATCAATAGGTTTACAAGTGCGGTATCAATCATGAGCTGTCAAAATTGTGGGAGCGAATTCGAAAATCACACGAATGGCCACTTAAAAGTACTGAAATATGCAGAAAATAATAGAGGATAACGGTAAATCGTGAGAAAAAATGGAGACGCGAAGAATGGAAGCAAAAACATTAAAATATTCGTAATTTCTGTACTTCCTCCGATTCACCGTGTAAACTCTATGCATAATCAAATGTTTATAATACGATAATTTAATAACGGAGCAACGTAACTGCCAAAAAATTATAATTCAGCAGAAATTAAGGAACAGCAAGAAAGTATGGAAAGAAACACCAAAACTTTACTTCTAGGTTTATGACGCTCGTCTATTATCAGGCTATCGAATGGAAAATGTTGGCATCAGTAGGTTTATGAGCTCGATATCAATCGTAACTGTCTAAATTGTGGGGGAGGATTTGGAAATCGCGTGAATGGGAATTTAAAAGTTGTAAAATATTCAGGAAAAACGGTCGTATTAAGCAACATTGAATTATTTTTTGATCTTCAATACCAACATTATTTCCAAGAGAATAGAATTCAGGAGAAATTGAGAAATACCAAGAAAGTATGGAAGGAAACATCAAAACTTTACTTCTAGGTTTATGACGCTCGTCTATTATCAGGCTATCGAATGGAAAATGTTGGCATCAGTAGGTTTATGAGCCCGATATCAATCGTAACTGTCTAAATTGTGGGAGAGGATTCGAAAATCGCGTGAATGGAAATTATTTCGATACCAACGTCTTTTCGACAAGAACATGTGTTGATTCTCAATTGATGTTTTCATGGATTTCGACGATTTGCTGAAGGCCTTTTAACACTCCGAGCGCCGCGCACTGCGGTAAAGCCTCAGAAAAATTTGAATAAAGTTGACATCTCATTTTGAAGTGTCTAGAAGCCCTATCAATGAAAATATCCGCCAAAAAAATCATAAGTCGTTAAATTTTCAGATTTTTATTCCGAGATTCCGGGCCGTGTACCCTGTATGAGGCGAATTTTCGGAAGAACACGGCAACTTTTAGCTTGAATATATAATTGAGGATAACACTGAACATAAAAAATCTGACGGCACTTCTTCCAGTATACGATCTAGATCACTCTTGATTTTTTAAAGATTTTTTCTGGATCTTTCAAATCGTTATTTCGTTTTATACTGGCGCGGCGCGACCAATGGAGTGTTAATAATACACGGAGAGAAAAATTCAATAAAAATGACCAGAAAAAAAAAACGTAAAAATTACGTTCCGAATCGTAATCCGCGAGCGAAGTAAAATTCAATAAAAAGTGTGAGTCGAAACTGAATTTGTACGAATCGCCACGTAAATTCTACGATTTGTTCCGTAAAAATTAACCACCCGTCTGATGACTCCCGCTGTGGGGACAACAAGTCGTTCGGTAATTTTTCCCCAACGATTGAGAAATTTTACGAAGCGGAACGTGAAAATAACTTACCAGCTTCATAAAAATTGTTGACGGTTCAAGAATTTTTTATTTTGGAGGCACAATAAGTCGGCAAGTTTCTGTAAGATTTTACTTCTTCGGGAAAAATTACGTGACAATTTCGTACTTTGTTCGGTGATGAACCCGAAAATTCACTGAATGTTTCAGATTTCTTCTCTTCCATTCCTCTAAAAATCGCCGGGAAACGATTCCCCCTCGCGGATTACGTGAATTGTTCCGTAATTTTTACTGAATATTCTCTCGCTGTGTAGGTGTTTTCATAGCTTTCGACGTATCTCAAACTGATTCTCGATGGAAATTTCCATCCCTTTTTAATAAAAAAAAAATCATGAATTTTCAAAAAAAGTTTTCATCAATTCCCACGAATTTCTTCGTAGTAATACTGTAGAAATTTGTATACGTGAAATAACATATTGATTCAAATCAACTTACAATAATAACATGATGAATCATATAAAATCAATCGTATTGCCGGGCGCGCTCCGCGCGCCTTCAATCTCGTATAGGAAATAACAGAGGATGACAGTAAAACACGCAAAAAAGGAGGGAGACCTGCAGAACCGAAGAATGAACACTCGCAGCATCATTCATAATTTCGAGAGCGCAATAAGCAATTAAAAGCCCGAGAATAACAGTAAAGCATATAAGAAATGAAAGGGATTTTCGTCGGTTTATTAGCAATGAACGGTCAAAACGGATCGTTCTCATAGAGAGCTGAATACACGGCATTCACAAATTAATAAAAATGTCAACAATTTGACATTTTAGATGTTAGTCAACTGCCCAACTCATGAATGAGAAACCCAAAACCACATGAACGGAAATGTGAAATTAAGAAAACATGAAAATGAAAAATGAAGGGATTTTGTCGTAAATGCGATGAAGTGTCAAAACAGATTATTTTTATCCGAGGCCCTAGATTTTTCCACAGTAGATAACTTAATCAACCGTCAAACTCATGAATGAGAATTTGAGAACAACATAAATGGAAGTTTGAAACCAGTAGAACATAAATAACTGAGATTGAAGCACGTGAAAAATGGAGAGAAACCTGTAGAATCGAAAAATGAACCCTCATAGCATCATTCATAATTTTAGGAGCGCAATAAACAATTAAAAACCCGAGAATAACAGTAAAACATGTAAGAAATAAAAGGGATTTTCGTCGGTTTCACAAATGAATAAAAACGGCATTCACAAATTAATAAAAATGTCAACAATTTGACATTTCAGATATTAGTCAACTATCCAACTCATGAATGAGAAATCTAAAACCACATGAACGGAAATTTGAAATCAGAAAAACGTGTAAATTCCAGAGTAACAGTAAAGTGTATGAAAAATGAAGGGATTTTGTCGTAAATGCGATGAAGTGTCAAAACAGATTATTTTTATCCGAGGCCCTAGATTTTTCCACAGTAGATAACTTAATCAACCGTCAAACTCATGAATGAGAATTTGAGAACAACATAAATGGAAGTTTGAAACCAGTAGAACATAAATAACTGAGATTGAAGCACGTGAAAAATGGAGAGAAACCTGTAGAATCGAAAAATGAACCTTCATAGCATCATTCATAATTTTAGGAGCGCAATAAACAATTAAAAAACCGAGAATAACAGTAAAGCATGTAAGAAATAAAAGGGATTTTCGTCGGTTTCACAAATTAATAAAAACGGCATTCACAAATTAATAAAAATGTCAACAATTTGACATTTTAGATATTAGTCAACTACCCAACTCATGAATGAGAAATCTAAAACCACATGATCGGAAATTTGAAATCAGAAAAACGTGTAATTACCAGAGTAACAATAAAATGTATGAAAAATGAAGGAATTTTCATCGTAAATGTGCGATGAAGTGTCAAAACAGATTATTTTTATCCCAGGGCCTAGATTTTTCCATAGTAAATAACTCAACCAACCGTCAAACTCCTGAATGAGAATTTGAAAACAACATAAATGGAAGTTTGAAACCAGTAGAACATAAATAACTGAGAATAACAGTAAAGCATGTGAAAATGGAGGGATTTTCATTGGTTTATGTACAATGAAGTGTTCGAAACAAATTCCTTTGATCTCAGGCCCTAGATTTATGGATGGCTGGATGCATGGTGTTCGTCTTCGCCTCGCTCAGTGAATTCGTTGTGGTCAAGGTCCTGGACTTGAGGCGTCAACAGTCGGCGGATACAACTGTTAATTATCATCGTCAATTGACAACTGTAAAATTAACAATTCTTTCCTCGTTGTTTAAACGAACACAGTTACGAGTATTATTTTCCATAAATTTGAATGTTATGCATTTTTTTCAGAGACTGGCCTCGAGTCCATCGGTCTGGGATTACGACTCTGTGTTCGCACCGCAGCCGAGGAAAACGAGAGCAGGCAGCAAACATCTATTGCAAACGGCTTGGCTCGATCCGGAGAGCCTGGCGAGGCCGAAAAAAACATTGTCACGAAAGATTGATGGATACAGTCGAATTATCTTTCCAGCGCTATTTTTATTGTTTATTATTCTGTACTGGCCAATGGTTCTTCTGAAAAAGAAAGTGCCGTGAATTTTTGTTGAATGACTCTTGAGTTTATTCAAAATGTGAATAGCTCGTTGAATTATTGATGACATGAAATAATTTTTTTTCGGAGAACTCAATTGATGAATTTGTTTCGGAGTTGTGACTATGTTTGAAGGAAACAAAAGTGTTCATTCAACTTTTTCGAAGAGAGTTCATCCCGTTACTGAATTGAAAAATGTATTAAAATGAAGATATTAAATATTTCGGGACATAAACTGAACGAAATTGAATTGATTTTTAAATCGTCGATGGTTCATTGAGAAGTAATAAATTGATCGAATTCAATAATAATCAAATACTGAATTGAGGGTCTTACTATTTTTCTCTAATTTTATTCTGCAATTTGGCTCTTCTGAAAAAGAAAGGCCCCTGAATTTTTGTTGAATGACTTTTGAGTTTGTTGAAAATGTGAATAGCTCGTTGAATTATTGATGACATGAAATAATTTTTTTTCGGAGAACTCAATGTGTTCTCATTGTGTTGTGAACAAAAGTGTTCATTCAACTTTTTCGAAGAGAATTCATCCCGTTACTGAATTGAAAAATGTATTAAAATGAAGATATTAAATATTTCGGGACACAAACTGAACGAAATTGCATTGTTTTTTAAATCCTCGATGATTCATTGAGAAGTAATAAATTGATCGAATTCAATAATAATCAAATACTGAATTGAGGGTCTTACTATTTTTCTCTAATTTTATTCTGCAATTTGGCTCTTCTGAAAAAGAAAGGCCCCTGAATTTTTGTTGAATGACTTTTGAGTTTGTTGAAAATGTGAATAGCTCGTTGAATTATTGATGACATGAAATAATTTTTTTTCGGAGAACTCAATTGATGAATTTGTTTCGGAGTTGTGACTATGAAGAAAACAAAAGTGTTCATTCAAATTTTTCGAAGAGATTTCATCCCATTACTGAATTGAAAATCTCACTATTTTCCTCCAACTTTATTCTGCAATTTAAAAATATATCAAAATGTGCGTAAAAAATACTCCAAACCCCCCAAATTCCAAAATATCCATATTTAATTCCTTAAAAGAGCAATTCTGTACAAAATCAATCAACTTCCATGTCCCCTCCAGACACATCCGACTCTCCATCACTCCCACCCCCACCTTCAACCTGCCCCCGTAGCTCCCCCCTCCTCCTGATAAAACTCATCGTATATTGATTGAAATCACAGATCTTACTAAGATCATCATACTTCTGCTGCATGTTCTTCTGCAGAGTCAGCAGAACGGGCATCTGAAGCGGCGAGTTGATCTTATGCCCTATCCTCGTAAGAATAATCTCGATCCAAATCAAATAAAACTGGATGTGTCTGGTCCTCTCCAGCTCAACAGCGATGAACTTCAGCAGCTTCTCCACATAAACCTGCGAGACAGTGACAACCGTCAGCTCCACATCCCCATAAGGAACCCTCTCAACAACTCTCCTAACCAAATCCTTCTCATTCAGCCTCAACGCCATCATAAGAGCCCTGGCGTACTCCCCACCCCCCAGAGCCTCCAGCACACTCTCCGTGGTGATCCCCATCTCGAGTTCAAACGGATCGAAGACGAGTCCCACATCCACCGAGTAAATCAAAAGGCCTTCAGTGGTGGCAGCAGCCCAGGCCTGCCCAGTAGGCGAGAACTGCAGGCTAAAAACCCTGACCTCTGGCTTGACACTCCTGCTAGCCATGTCCCCACTCTTCACCCCAGGCAGCCTCAGTGCCACATGGCCCCCCTCCCTCTCCTCCCGTTCCTCCACCAGCGCCAGATTCCCAAACTCCGTCATCTTGCGTCTGTTGACAAAATCATCAACAGCATCGAACGATCGATTCTGCGTGATCTCGAACTTCTTAACGAGCACAGCCTCCTTGACGTTGTAAATACAGACATTCTTGGAGAGTCCACCAGCCAGAATGCAGGCCCCATCGGCAGTGTAGCATAACGTCGTGAATGCCTTTCCCTCGAGACTCTTCTTGGCAGTAATGAGATCAGTCTCCCCTCGACCACTCCCCAAGTCCTTCCTTCCCTCGATGCTCCCAGTCTGGTTCGATGTTTTGCAGTCGAAGAACGATATCTGCCCATCCAGAGTGGCGACAGCAACCTCGTCCCCACTGGGTTTATAAACCACGCACAAGCCATCACCAGTTAATTGAATGGTCTCGTGAGTGGAGCCACTCTCAATAGCATTCCACAGCTTCAGGGTTTTGTCCCAGGAGACTGAGGCCAGAGCGGTGCTGGCAGGACTGGGGCTGAAGGACAGACTGGAGACTGGGCCCTCGTGGCCACTCAGGATCTCCAAGAGAGTTCCCAGCTTCACACTCCAGAGGTAGATGTCGAAGACGTCCTGGCCTCCAGCTGCCAAGAACTCGTCGCTTGAGTCAAGGGCTAGACACGAGAACTGAACGGGTCTTGGGGACGTGAAGGTCTTGAAGTTCCTGTAACGGGTGAGGTCGTAAGCACGAGCTGTTCCGTCCAGCGAGCCTGACACTATGAACTTTCGGTTGTGGCTGAACAACACGTGGGAGATTGAGGATGTGTGCTCGGAGAAGGTGACAGTGCAGAAGCCACTCAGGGTGTTCCAGAGCTTCACTTTTCCGTCGTCCCCTCCTGTGATTATGTACTGGCCGTCGGGACTGTAGGCTAAGGAGTTCATGGAGTTACTGTGGCCCTGCTGCTTCATGGCGTACGTCTCACTCTGCCACTCCCAGACCAGGAGCTGACCCAGCTTGGCACATCCCAGGGCAATCCAGTCACCTGGTGGTAAGGGATCAGTGGTTATTTCATCGTGAAAAGTCAGCACGTGAACTATTCGTCAGGACTTTTTTATTAGTACTCCAGGTTATAGTCAATTATTCGATTTTATGATATTTGTTTATTATGTTCTGGCAATTTTCCCTGGGGTGGCAATCAGTGTATTGATTTTTACGTGATCAATCCAGATTTTTACCTGATTTTTTGCCGTTGTTTTCTTTTTTTTTCATTTTTACAACAATTATTACATCAGAGATTACAATTATTGATCAGAGAATATTAAAATGTTTTTGTTTCCAATTTTTCTCACACAATTTAATTGACAAATTTGATATTTGAAAATGGTTGGATCTATAGCGGAGATCGATATCAATTATTATTTTTGTAATATTATGATAAGTTGCACCTTGCAATAATTAAAGTTTACTCATCTTCTTTGAAGTTTGAAAGGTAATAGAATAATTAATAATTTACATTTCAATTAACTATGGATTAAGTAATTGGCAATATCTAATTGTCAATTGACCATTGAGTAAATAATTCGAAATGTCATAAAAGGATTTTTTCGATTGACCATATAATCGTCAATTTTCCAAACTCAATTATTAATGGATAAATTAATTGGGAATTTGAATATTTAATTGATGATTGATTTAATAATTTAAAAATTGTTGGGCAATATTAACCCAATAATTTAACTAATGTAAAATTTAACCTAATTTGAAATTAATGAGTGTACCAATGTCTGATCTATAGTGATCTGTGCCAAACTGTAAAAGCTGCTTGGATATCCTTAATCGAAAAGCAGTTAAATTTTGTCTGTAACATTTAGTATAACGACACACTAAAAAAATGTCAATACTGTTGTGTCCAGTACAATGAGTGAGACACAAACACAATTAATTAAATAGACTGGGGCGGTTTATTAATAAATTATTGGAGGGGAAGTACAGGACGATGTGTCTTCGTTGAATAAATACACATCTGTATTTTTAAAAACTTACCTGTTGAGTTCAAGGCTATTGTCGATATGCAGTTATTGGAGATGCTGAGAGAATGGATCATACTGACTTCTGGCATCTCGTGGAGGAAGAAGCAGCCATTGCTGAACCCTGTGACGAGAATTTTTGTGCTTGGGTGGTAAGCAGCTGCTGTCAGGATGGCCGATCTGTCGGATTTCCTGGGCTCGTCTGCCAGGTAATGTCTCGCCAGTCTTTTGTATATAAGTCTCTTTATTCTGTCTTTCTCGTTGGACGAGGGATCGTCTTCGTCTTCTTGGGGCTCAGTTGAACTCAACATTCGTTTTTTCTGCTTCTCGGTCTTTTCGAGCGCCCTCTCCAGGTCAACGTCGTCCTCACTGTCGCTGTCTTCTCTCGGTTTTTCCCTTTTAGTCGGGGGCTCGTAGATGACGAGGTCCTCGGGCTCCAGGGAACACTCCCACACGCAGAGGTGACCGTTTCTGCTGATCGTTGTCAGGTCGTAGGAGCTCTTCTCGAAGAAGCAGGAGACTATCTCCTCGGAGTGACCACCTAGCGAACAGTATCTGAAGTTTGCGAACTTTTCGAGGCTGTAGAGCTTTGTTGTGGTGTCCTTGGAACCTACTGCGAGGATTTTTGAATCGAACGACCAGCACAGGGTTGTGGTGTCGTCCACTGGACCCGAGAACACGCGCTCCATCACGAAGGGGTTGAAGTCACCGGTCTCGAGACATGGGGCGTTGAAGATGAATACTAGAGGATGAAGAAAGGCGTAAGTTTTTTTCATTATCTATCTATTTTATGTTTTTTCTTCATCTGTTTTTTTAGTGTAATTTACATTCTTTGAGGTATCTACAAATTATTTCCATGGATTTATGGTAGGTTAATTGCTGACTTAAATTTCTGGTACACTTCATGGAAATTCCAAATTTTAGTCAATTACTCCATGAGAATTAATAGACATCCGGAAAATTCAAGTAAATGTGTTCTTAAATCTTCCATTAATTAAATAATTTAGTACTGAATATTCATGTTTTTATGAAAAATTCAAGTAAGTTAGGGAATTCTCCTCTTCCTGCTTAGAAATATTTGGAATTTCACTGAACTTGTAGTGGAATCTGAAATTTTATCATTTGTTCCCTCCCAAATCGAATTTTTTTTAAATTGTAATTTACATTCTCTGAGGTATCTACAAATTATTTCTATGTATTTGTGGTCAGTTGTACCCCGAAAGGTTTTGGTGGTGTATTGTTATAAATTGTTGACTTAAAACTCCGGTACACGTCTTGGAAATTACAAATTTTAGTCAATTATTCCATGAGAACTAACAGACATCCGGAAAATTCAAGTAAATGTGTTCTTAAATCTTCCATTAATTAAATAATTTAGTATAATTTGGTACTGAATATTCATGTTTTCATGAAAAATTTAAGAAAGTTAGGGAATTCTCCTCTTCCTGCTTAGAAATATTTGGAATTTCACTGAACTTGTAGTGGAATCTGAAATTTTATCATTTGTTCCCTCCCAAATCGAATTTTTTTTAAATTGTAATTTACATTCTCTGAGGTATCTACAAATTGTTTCTATGTATTTGTGGTCAGTTGTACCCCGAAAGGTTTAGGTGGTGTACTGTTATAAATTGTTGACTTAAAACTCCGGTACACGTCTTGGAAATTACAAATTTTAGTCAATTATTCCATGAGAACTAACAGACATCCGGAAAACTCAGGTAAATGTGTTCTTAAATCTTCCATTAATTAAATAATTTAGTATAATTTGGTACTGAATATTCATGTTTTCATGAAAAATTTAAGTAAGTTAGGGAATTCTCCTCTACTTGCTTAGAAAAATTTGGAATTTCACAAAACTTCTAGTGAAATTTGAAATTTTTTTTCATTCGTTCTCCCCCCCCCC